AAATAAAAATTTATGAAATAAAAACACAAAGACATAATAAATTGACCCTATTTTTAATCAAAATAAATCCTTTTCTTGCCCGAACTCTATAGGCGTAATCAAATAAGTTTATGAAGTGCGTCATATATGTCCTTCTATTTTACTTCGATTGAAACAAAACCAAATGTTATGTTACAATCAAACACATCTATTATAACAATTGTACTTTCGGATTCCAAGTAACAATACTTTTAATTACTATTTGATTTGTGCGTAATAATTCAATTTCTGGTTGTAAATTATTTTCGTAGGTCGTGGTTTTATAAATCTGCGATTTTTGTCAACATACATCATTATATCATCAGTTGCCAACGCATCTCACACGGAGCAGGTTTGAGATTTAATCACCACGCTAGCTCCATGGGGTTCGGCGATTTCAAACTTACAATAATTAGAAACTATATGTTCAAGTTTTCATCATGATGTTTTTCTTCACCGTATGTCAGTGGTATCTAAATAATCAAATAAACTAAGTACATATAACTTGGAAAAAGTTATATTAGTGCTGACCAGGTTTCGAACCCGCACCTTCATGCATAAATATGGTTGGTCATCAATTTTTTTTTATTTATATGTCGGCAAACGACCAGACGGATTACCTGATGGTAAGCAATCAGCGCCGCCCATGGACACCCGCAACGGAGGAGTTACGATTGCGTTGCCGACCTTTTAGGGATTAGGGATTTGGAGATTAATGGATTGAGGAGGGATTGGGGGAGGGGAAGGATTAGGCCTTGGGAATATAAATTCTTAAAGTTACGAATTAAAATGGGCACCTTTCTCTATAGTCTCAACTGTTTTTCTAATAGTGCGTTACAAATTATTTCTTAGAATCACAAAACAGAGTAAAAACCTCCCTCTTGAAACCTACTTCAGGTTATTTGCTCGAAATATTTAGTTTTCCACGTAAACACTTGACTTCCAACCCTAGTTCGGTGGTTCGACGCCATAACGGTTACCGCTGAAGTAAATAAACATGTTCGTAACAAATTGAGTTTGATTTGGCAACGATTTTATCACGGTTTAATGACAATTTTTTCCGAAGGACATTTTTCGAACGACCATATATTTCAAGTCGTACGTCGTGGTGGCCCAGAGGTTAAGGAGCCCGCTTCTCATGCATGAGGGTGTGGGTTCGAAACCTGGCAAGTACCAATGTGACTTTTCCGAGTTATATGTACTTTCTATGATTATTTAGACACCACTGACAAACGATGAAGGTAAACATCGTGAGGAAACCTGGACTTATAATTTCTAATTATAAGTTTGAAATCGCCAACCCGCATTGAGCAAGGGTGGTGATTAATGCTCTAATTTTCTCCGTGTGAGAAGAGGCCTTTGCTCAGCAGTGGGCACTTATAGGCTGATGATGATGATGATATTTCAAGTAATTTTTAACGAAAGAAAATTAGTAAATTCTCTTTTACTGTTGTTTTTATAAAAGCGTAGACACCAGAGTATTCTCCTGTGTCGTGGGTACGTTTGCAAATTCACATAGGTACACCGTACACATGACACCCAGACCCGGAACAACAATTTGTGGATCTCACAAAGAGTTGTTCCGTGCGATTATAGAACCTGCGACACGTTGCACAACAGCTGGTTTGCCCAGCCATCGCGTCAATTTGGTAAATTTGTTACTACTAACCTTACCTTTTCGTGGTAAACCTAAAATATTGTGATTTTTATTGGTATTACAAGTCAAGTTGGTAGGTAAACGAAGTCGCTTTCAACTGTCAAAAGTCACATTGGTACTTGCCAGATTTCGATCCTGGTAGCTCATACATGAGAAGCGGGCGCCATAACCTCCGGGCCATCACGACTTCATTTTTACACATTCATACTAATCATTAGTGATCGATGATACTAATATTATAAATGCGAAAGTAACTCTGTCTGTCTGTCTTTTCTTCACGCCTAAACTACTGAACCGATTTCTGTGATATTTGGTACAGACATAGTTTGGAACTCGAGAAAGGATATAGGATAGTTTTTAAACCAAAAATCTACAGGAAGTCACTATTCCACGGGCAAAAGCTAGTATAAATTTTTATGTATATATATTCCATGTATTTACCTTCGCTTCGCTTGACAATGCAGCATTGTTAAAACGATAGTAGAACAAAAAACCAGATTATTTAATATTTATTTAAGCTTAGGTATTCATTTTTGTGGTTCAGATTGATCAAATAATATCTTAAAGACTAAGAGGTAGGTAAATTTTAATAAAATCATCGATCCATTCGGTATTCATTTGAACATTTTGTTAGCACATGTTTTGTGGTATTTTTTTATTGCACGTGTTTAATATTCGTACGATAGAACCTAGATAAACCGAATGGGTGAAATGAATCATGTTTGTCATTGTTATTTTTTTTTTCTTTATTATTGTATGCACATCACACATACAATAACTGTGGAAGAGCCAAGCTTCTGCCGGCACGAATGGGTCGGCTGGACCGGAGTGATACCACGGCCTCACAGAAAACCGGCGTGAAACAACCACAGCGTTGTGTTTCGCCGTGTTAGTATGGTTACCGGAGATCTAATTCCTTCCCAATTCTTAAATATCCGAAACATTTTTCCCAAAAGGCCGGCAACGTACTCGTTACGGCTTTGGTGTTGCGGTTGTCTATGGGCGGCGCCGATTGCTCATCATCAGGTAATCTGTCTGTTCGTTTGTCGATATAACTCATAAAAAAGGAAATATGTAACAAAAAACAGTAAAATAAGAACCTATTGCATATTTTATTGGAAAAACCTGTCACAACCCCCCGTAACCGCTGATCTGAATCGTTAGGTACTATTAAGTTCAGCTATCCAGTTTACTTAATTAAGCAAAACATTAACATTGAAATTAATAAACGAACTCAAAACAAAACAATAATAGCATCGCCTAATCACACATGTTGATGTCACAAATTAATTCCGATATAGAAGGGTCGAGACTGCCTGTCTGCGCACGAGTTGAATCAACGAGGCAATATGGCGACCCCAGCCAATTGATCCGGGACAATTAACGACCCAGCTTGAACTCCACTCCCTTACAATGTCTCATGAAGAAAACATACTTTAGATAGACATGTGAATTCCTAACTTCTGAGAAGCGATGGAGATTTTGATAATTTTCATATTACATCAGCATAGGCCTCTTCTCACATGCAGAAAGTTTGAGAATTTTTCGCCACGCTTGCTCAAGGCGCATTGGCAATTTCAAACTTATGATTAGACAAGATTATAAGTCCAAGTAGTCTTTAGGATATTTTTCTTCGCTGTATGTCATGCTGTGGAGTCTAAATAATCTCAGAAAGTACATATGATTCGGAAAAAGCCAGTTTGGTAATGTCATACTTCGGGGTTGACTTCATTACGTTCACAGATTATCGAAATGTTATTTAATCAGTGTTCAAAACTTTATGGTCTGCATCACAATTTCTCCATAGCTACTATTAATTACCTAGCTGATAAATTTGAAAATATATAGAAACTAATGTGTATGTATTTCGTTTTTGTCTATACTTGTATAAGTTTTAAGCCTCATTGGCTCATTATCGACGCAGTTCTTCCGGGATAGGGTCAGGAAGCTAGTTTGCCAGATGTGCTGGCACTAACTCAAGAGCACGTGCCGTGGACATTCATTCAGACTTACATTTGGTTACCCTAACTGAATTTTTTTGTATGAAGTAAATAAAGTCTTGTAATTTGGCGACTTGATGGCCTCCACAGTGAAAGCCCCAGCCAAAACAGCAAAAAAGCTACTTAAAACAAAATGACTGCATCGCTGAGGGCATATGTGACATTAATACTTTTTTTAATTTAAGCAAGAAGTAACACCATATTTCTCATTCCTCGAAGGATAAAGCAGCACTGCATTGTAATAGAGATCCGAGTACTTAGGACAAACTTCCAGATTCCACGCACCTATTTTTTAATTAGTTAACGTAAGTTAAAAGTTTCGTTCAAATCAGTCCATCAATTGCGAAGATTAGCGTGTGCGAATAGACATACAGATTTCTTTCACATTTGTCTCTCTATTTTCATTGTATCGGAAAATATATGCTAGGTATACAGGACAACATTTTTTACTGTCTCAATAAATGTATAGAATCCATTCAAGTTTAAAAAGATGGGTTATCTTTATACGCCATCGTCTTCTGCTAATTAAATATTGATTAATGTTCGCCAAGATTGTTTTGTTCTGTAATGACAATTGAGTATCTAAAGAATTTCATGAAGCTAATGAAACTGTTTTTTGTTTGTCACACCAGTATTTACCATGTGGCTTACTTCACGCATGTAATATGTGATTGACCCAATAATATTTAAATTTTCGGTTATTTTAATTGAGTGTTTTTGTTCACGGATCTGTTTACTGGTGGAAGTTACCACACTTATATCAGTTGGTCTTAATTTTGTTTGAGGCTTTTTCATTGAGAGGTGATCAAGCGAATGCACTTCTAAATTCAAATCGGGAATTCGTTTTCTTGTCCGAGTTTCTACAACTGCACATTTTCCTGTTAATTGAGAATGTGGGAAATCCGTGCTTCGGCAGAAATGGATCCGGTCGACCGGAGTGATACCACGGCCTCACAGAAAACCGACGTGAAACCACTATTTCTTCCCTCCACTTATCCCAAAATGTCGAAAAATCTTATTCCCAAAATTCCAGCAACGCACTTGTAACACCTCTGGTGTTGCGGGTGTCCATGGACGGCGCCGCTTGCTTACCATCAGGTAATATGTGTGCTTGTTTGCCGAGCAATCAAAAAAATTTATCTTCGTGGCAGAAATGCTAAAATCCATTCATAATCTCGGCTAGCTAAGTCTATGCAGCGTTATATTTTTGTGAAAAATCTATATTGTATAAGATAAGTTACAATCACGACTGATTTACAAAAAGTGTAAAGGTATAAAAGTCCACAATAAATGAATTTGATGTAATTTCTTTTCCCTTGTTGCAGTGGTCCTGCCAGTGTTCTCATATGGCACGGCTATCGGCTGGATTTCCCCCATGGGTCCTCGTCTGATGTCCGAGGATACTCCAGCGGCTGCCCCAGTGCATCCAGACACTATATCCTGGATGGCATCAGTGGTATACATGGTTGGGACGCCCACAGTATTCCTATTTGGCTATATTGTCGACAATTATGGACGAAAAAAGGCGCTGATGTTGACTTCATTTTCTATGGCGGTAAGTTTTTAATGGTGTTTTTGGAAAAAGTGTGGAGATATGTTTGACGCTAAAATTAATTAGTACCTAATGTCTAATGCGTTGTACTACGGATTTACCTTATCGCGTACGCCTCAAACAGACAATAGACCACCACAGATGAGGCCTTATAGGGCTGATGTTCAGCCGGGGTTGCGGAATGAGCGCAATAAGGAAGCTGCCTAGAGCATGAGAAGCAACGGGGTTGTTTTTAGTCAGTAAGTGTTTGATACTTCCTCTCGCCTCTCCCTGGGCGGTAGAAGTAGTTTGATGATATTCCCCTCACAAAAAAAGCATTTTCCTTAAAAGCCAATTTTAATCTGGATTCCTAATTTGCACATTTTCAGGCATGCTGGGGTCTTAAATTGTATTCTACGGAGACATGGGCACTCATTACAGCAAGAGCTATCGTGGGCTTAGGAGTCAGTGGATCCTACGTCGTCACACCGCTTTACATCAAGGAGATCAGTGAAGACACAATCAGAGGAACTCTTGGAAGTCTAGTGGTCCTCTCACAGAACTTGGGCAATCTGTTCGCGTATATCATGGGCGAATATTTAAGCTACCATGCTATGCTCTGGGTGTGCCTTATTGTGCCCATCCTGCATTTGGTCTTGTTCATGGCCATGCCTGAGACGCCATCGTATCTGCTGAAGAGCGGGAAAGTTGAGGTGAGGCACAGTTTTTGTTGCTTTTATCTGTTCTTTGTATTTACCTCCTGAATTGGAGAAGTTTATTTTGGGGAAAACTTTTAGTATCCTATCTGTCCTATTAGAAAGTAAAACAAAAACAACAAGGTACAAGTATATTTTGTTTTTAAAAACCTCTTACCTAACTTGGATTTTCTCTTGTTTCGTTGGTGTGTTTTCAAACATACATACTAACATACCTAAGACTCGACCATGACCCAAGATTGTTACTTGCGGGAATCGAAACCGCGATACGTTGTTGCTCAGCAGCCAGTTGCTAGCCGAAAATTCTGTGACTGATAAAATAAATATTGAGAATCCTAACTCTTAAAATATCTGTCACATTACACAAAAACACCATAAACTTTACGTAACTATCTACAACCAGACAGCATTAAACTAACTACATCTACTTTAATGTCTATTGATCCTAACGTTTATTTTATGGCATGTGGTTTGTTAGGAGGCACGCGACGCTCTTGCTTGGTTAAGGTGTCGTGAACCTTCGGAGCCCGCAGTGGACAATGAGCTCCAGAACCTGTTACTGGAGCTAGAACAAAGCAAGTCGGGCAAGATGAGCGCTGCACTCAAAACTTTAGGTGAGTTTCATATTATTATTATTTTTAATATGTTAGGTCGGCAAACATGCAGACGGATTACCTGATGGTAAGCAATTAGCGCCTCCCATGGACACTCGCAACAACAGAGGAGTTACTAGTGCGTTGGCGACCTTTTGGGGATTAGGGATTGGGGGAGGCGAAGGATTGGGCCTCCGGTAACCTCCGAACACGGCATAACACAACGCTGTGGTTGTTTCACGCCGGGTTTCTGCGAGCCGACCCATTTGACCCAAAAGCTGCCTGGTAGAAATCGCTTTCAGCGATAAGGCCACTTCTTTACCCTGTACTATTTTTATTATGTATATCTATGTCACAAACTCCATTAGTGTACCTGCAATAGATTATTTATTTATTTATATACTTATTATTATTTTCTTCTAAGGCATTTACCCATACCATAAGGTAAACGAGGAGTCTTTTCTAGCGAAAGAGAAATCAGTTAAGTTGTCTCATTCTATCTCAGTTGATATATCATTTTTTTTATTAAGTACTAGCAGTTCGCCCCTGCTTCGCACGGGTCTCATCATCACGTTTACGATGAAAGGGTCCCTATTACCCAACTCTCCCCTCTACTTTTCTAAAACTTTCTTTCATGAGAACCTTCTCCTGACAATAACACACATAACAAAAAAAAAAACAGTAGAATTGGTCCAGGCGTTATTGAATTATGGGCTTACCAACATATTTTGCGATTCATTTTATATACACAGATACGTTGTTCAAAAAAATATAATCCCATAAATTCCATAGTATGCTCATTCGGGAGTCATGTATCTACAGAACTGATAATCATAAAGTAAAGAAAATTGTTACTGTGAAAAATCTCGATTAACCATTGCATTGACAGCAAACAGTACCTGACTCTACAGTAAAGAACTTTAGAGCCAATAACTTTAAGGAATTTAAGCTAAAGACACGAAGGCTCTTAGCAACAAACCAAATCCAAAGTCGACTAGCCGAGTCATTAATTTGTGTGTGCAGGCATACGGTAACAATATGTAAACGGTAGCCCGCACCACAGGTTAACGGGAACCCTCACACAAACAGCTTAGAGAATATTTGTCTACACTAATGCTCTCAACACGGCCGCGGCCGGTGTTTGGATAACTTATAAAATAGGTTTTTGGGTTATACTTCCCAAGTTTTAGGAGTTTTTGGAACGTTAAACCGGTTTTTAAGTAACACTTTTAATGTTAAAAAGTGTAATGTTTTAATAATTGATTGTTAAAATCCGTTAAATAGGGTTTTGTTCTCGATTTCATTTGTACGCATTTATTTAACACTAAGCACAAGTATGACTTGTGAAATTTTTGTTTGCAATTAGGTACCTTTTATTGTACCAAATTATGATTAGCAAAAATAAAACCTTATAGTTTATTAATTTAAAATTAAATCGACAGTTATTAACAACATTTGTTTATTTAAACGTAACAGAAAAAATATTGGAAAGAAGGAAAATAATGTTCCAGAATTCATAAAGTTGTTTTTTTTTCTAATCGACGACGGTCACTTCACTACATGTGTGGTATAAAACAAAGTCGCTGTTTCTGTCCCCATATTCCTAATTCCTATGTATGATTAGATCTTAGAACTACGCAACTGAATTTGATGCGGTTTTAAGTAATCGACGAGGAAGGTATATGTTTAAATGTATGCATTTAATATTGGAGAAATTTAGTATTAGCATTGCACTCGTGTAAAGCGGGAGCAGGTCGCTAGTCGATTATATTTACAATTTATTTCATATTCTTTTTCCCTTTTTTGGACTAAAATCGATTCATATAACAAATATTAGGTAAGTAGGTATTCAAAAAGGTGTAAGTACCAGGAACGCAGCACTACAGTAGCGTTTCTTGGTTTATGTACATTCCCATGACGCTTTAACAAGGCTCCACCGTTATAAGTGGTTTCTTCTCAAAATCTTACGGCTATTGGGTTTGTCTTACTGCTAGTAGGTACTCAGAGTCATTCATCGATTACTTATTTCTTAGTTTTGTTCTGAAAACAGTTGGGTACCTAGTTTCTTAGATGAAAAATAAATTATTTTGTCTTTTCAAAATCCTTTTCAATATAAGTATTTACTTAATTTTAGACTTTACTAGTTACCTTTTTAAGGTAAGTGTGATGTTCGACATAAAAACTGTCAAAGATGTCATACAAAATTCGATTTTGACATTAAAGTAAAAGTATTGAATTTGACTACATAGTTAGAAGCTACCGAATTGCTGAGTTAAGAAACCATTAAACGACGGTAAAATTTAACAACATTTTACCGTCGTTGTAGTTATACTTAGATTTCAAAGATTTTTGTTACTTTAAAATTTTTTATGCCTACATATATTTTAGGTATCTATGCTGTTGATAAAGACAGCTTTTAATAAATCTATAATGTAACTGTGGTGAGCTAACACATTTGTACCTTAACAATTTTTGTTAGAGATTTTTTCTTCCTGGCAGACCTCCTCTATAATATCATGCGTTCAAAAATTTTAGTTTTTTTTTTTACTGCAAATAGAACAAGCATCACTAACGCCATCTCTATTCAAAATGTAACACTTTCTTCCACAGTAACCGACCGCAGTACCTTCCGAGCGTTTCGCATAGTGCTCATCATCACGGTAGCTCGGGAGCTGTGTGGATGTCTAGCTGTACTGCACTTCGCATCTCTCATCTTCAGCAAGGCCAGTGCTGGATGCTTGCTGACTGCTAACCAACAGGCAGCTGTACTAGGTCTTGTGCAGTTTGTGGGGTCCTGCACCGCTTCCAGCCTGGTGGAAAGGACTGGAAGGAAGGTAGGATTATTGTTATAATTACTCATGCGGTGAAAAATGTTGTAGGAGGAACTGTTTCGACTGTACATCGCCATAACAAATCTGTAATAATGACGATAGATAATAATAAAATCAAAACAATAATAACTACCTAGTTTCAAGTTCAGAGAGAGAGATAGAGAGAGTTTTGAGTTGCATAGATAAGCAACCCGAAAAAACTGTGCAGGTATTGTATAATGGTTAGCAGAGGGGCGTGTACAGAGATTTGAACAAGGGCATGAAAAACATATCACGTTTATGATTGCATAAAAATTTCGAACTGTATTAATCCGATTCTTGATTTCATAAGTAAACCCAAGAGAACCTACTACAATACTTTTGAAGGGATTTGGAGATTTTGGGAATGGGGGAAAGGAAGGATTGGGTCTCCGTTAACCTCACTCACACAGCAAAAAACAATGATGTGGTTGTTTTACGAGGATTTTCTGTGAGGCTGTCCGGTCGAGCCGCCCCATTCGTGCCGAAGCATAGCTCTCCCACACTTAAGACTTAGACAGTTTTCTTTTCTATTTCCAGCCACTTCTAGGTACCACGTGTCTGGTCTCAGGAATAGCGATGTGTGCTCTCGGCGCGTGGTTCTACGCTCACATAGGTGCAGTTACTGAGACCGCATCCTGGCTCCCTATAGTCGCACTGTGTCTGTGCATATACTGTGATGCAGCTGGTCTACAGCCCGTGCCATTTGTTATTATGACTGAAATGTTCTCGTTCCAGGTTTGTATACATTAAATTATTACTTAAAAATACACCTAAATACATTTGATTTAATTTTAATGACGTGAAATAACTGAAACAATCTCTACTGGTACGAGAGAGGGTTTTTTTTTTTTTTTTTTGTGAGGGGAAAATCATCAAATGACTTCTCCCGCCCAGGGCCGGGCAGGAGGGAGTGTCAGACTCTTACTGACTAAAAACCCCCCTGTTCCTTCTCCTGCTCTGTGCCGAGGTCGCGGTACCTCATTGCGCTTACCCCGCAACCCCGGCTGAAGAGAGGGTGCGTTGAGCGCGCAAGCTCGAGTCGTCAGTTGGTCGCGACGCGCACGCTGTTTGTGAATAAGAGTCCCATTGTGACTTGAAACTAGTCGCGGTTTTCTTAGTTATTTCACGCAAGTAATAAAAAAACTGACGAATATTAAGACTTCATAATTTTTACAAAATTCTTACGTCCTTTTATTAGTCAAAAATGTGATATCTGTATATCTTATCTATGACCCAAAAAGGTTTTAGTACTTAAGTGTCTGGGTAGTAAGTTTGATTTTTTTTTTTCGTTAAGTTGTCCATTTCTATGTTTCAGCTCCGAGGCACGGTGACAGCGATAGTAATCGCGTTCGCTTGCGGTCTCATGTCAGTGGAACTGAGAGTATTCCACCCGATCGCATCATCAGTGGGCCTCTACTTCATCTTTTGGCTATTCTCAGGAGTTTGCTTAATCAGCACAGTGTACATCGCTTGCGTAGTCCCAGAAACCAAGATGAGGTCCTTAGATGAAATCTACGCGGAAATCGGAGGCAAGGACAACAAAGTTAAGAGCAAAGAAAAAGACTGTGAAGCCGACGTCACAAAACTGTAGACTGTATTATGACGTCACCTGTCATGGCGGTATTATTTTGAGGTTAAGTGTCAAAGTATTCGTTCAAGTCCGGTTAGATTTGAAACTTATTGGTACGGCTTAACAGTGATATTTTGCACTTTATGTGTGTAGACGTAGGATTTATTTTTAAGTATTTTGAATACGATAAACTCAGTGAGTTTCTTTATGTAGGACCTATTATTTTTTCTATTTTTTTAGGCTGTCTAAACTATTACGTCTAGGATGTAAAGACTTTGTATTGTAGATTAGATTAGGACGTAGAGTAGAAACATAAATATTTATAAATAAATACTCAGCTTTGTACTTATAAGTACTTAGTTTAGTGTATGTAAATTAAATTAATAATGAAAATAGTTTATTTATAAAAAGTATTAACATTATTATCATCTGAAAAAGCTCGCCATTATGTACCACATTCGTGTGTGCCATAAAACTTGATTATTGGCCTCAAATTTATTTATATTGTTATATAAACTATATTTTTCACGAACATATTCCTTTTGGTCCAAACATCCCGTCGTGTACATACAGATTGAAATTGACTGGACCTAAGATGAAGCCTTGGGGTATCCCTTAAGACACTGGCTTTAACTACTTATACACAGAAAATCTATATCAGAAAAGGATTAAATACTAAGTTCTTTTTAGAAACTTTTAGTTTACAAACAGAATCTGGGATATATCTGGAACTCATACAAATATTTGTTTACTAAATCTTGATGTATAAAAGAAGAAGCTTCTACTTTGGTTAGGTCACTTTATATTTAAGCCTGGATCCTACTTATTGTTTTCTGTTCATCTTATGTTTTATATAGGTAGGTGTACATATTATATACTACATGTTACGTATATAATGTGCCATTTCACTGTCTAATTTACCCATCTCATGTTCTTGATATTGAAACACAGTTCCTTATTGTGTATCTATTGCAAAAGTAAGCTAGACGGAAAAATTGTGACAAAATGTTGTGACGGCCACTTTTTTCTTTTCCTCTCACTCTCTCTCTCTCTCTATCTCTCTCATAGAAAGCGAGCCTTTTATTTAGCTATTTTATTTTGTATTGAACAATGTGGTGTTGCAACTATTATGTTTGTTGAGTGTATTATGGGGTACAGGTTTTTTAATTACAACAAAAATTAAGGAAAGACAATAAATTAATAACAATTCCTACAATAATTAATCGAAAGGTGCTTCGTTTTATCCAGGTGTCCCTTTTTCCGTTAATTATTTTTAAACAGTCATTGTAAAACAAACCCTAATAATATTTTTATACTGTTGTAATCGATTCTATACCTACAATGTATAATTTGATTACTTAGTTGACACTTTTAACACCTGTATTACGAAATACAACATAATTCACTTAGGAATTGAGGACAAAGTTACATGTATGAGTATAGCGACCAGAAAACTTACCCAAAGGTGTGCAAACAAATTGATTTTCAATTGGTTGGCATTTAATATTTATTTATATTTTCGTCATAATTATGTGAAATGAATCTCGTTATGTAATATTTTTGTTACTTAGAAATAAAAAGTATTTTATGTAGATTGCGTCGTTTTACTTACTTGTTTGTTTTTAAATTTCCTAACTTTTTAAGGGCCTTTGAAACTTTGAGGTAATTATTGATTTAACACATTACCACTACGATTTTCACAATGATATCTCGGATGCCGCCAAATTCTCGTACATTTTACTAGAATAAAATTACGTGGACTCTCTGGGTAAGTCGGTGGCACTCGAATGTGTTAATAAAGCACCTACAATAGTTTGTAAACACAAGACCATGTTTTCAGCAATAGCACTTGTAGGCTGTTAACTTTTCTTGCTGTCTCATTTTGTGAAAAAAGGGTGTTCAAATAAAACAACAGATTCACAAGCAATGGAATGTTTACAATTGCAATGATAAAGTTCTTACAATATCATGTGTAAGTACATATTTATGTATAAGCCTCGTCCGAAAGACAGTCTCACTTTGCCTTTAATAAATAATTTATCTTCATAATAAATAGGTTATACAGCGGATAAACTCTCAAAATCCAATCCATTCGTTGAACTCACAACCTTTTTTCGCTTTCCATTAGGAATAATTAACTGAATATCTTTGCCGTGTCGGCCATGTCATTTATATGTCAAAATTAGTTCTGGATTCAACCACTGGAAAACAGTGGCGCCACTGTCGTGATTGAAAAAGAAAAAGTCTACAAGACGAAGGTTTCAAATAGGTTTAAGTAATTAAAATATATTGTAATCTAACACCGATGGGTTAGAACAAAGCAAGACTCTCTTTCTATTAAAAACAGTTCAAGAATATTTTTTTATATAAAACATTCGATTATTTTGATTATATATATATTACATACATAGTACATAATGATTCTGTTCTAACGTATACGACGATAATAATAAAAAATGGAAGTTTACATTATATAAAACGACGATCACGATAGTTTATATATAATTATAGAAAATGAGTGTTCTTTTATATTGAAATTTGTGCTCTCTCCTATACATAGATTATACATATATAAATAGATTATGTCGCACTAAATCTTCGTTTAATTCGCTATTATGGAACAATTATTTGAGAAATACGGACACTCTAAATAGTTTTGAAAGACTATAAGAATTTGAGAACTTAATAAATCATCAAAAAAGATTAAATCCCACTTATAATATACTTCGTAGTCATTCATTCGACTAATTAAATTCATTCTATTTCAGAATTGTCAAACTCTGCACTTTTCTTTTCGCCTCGACATTTACTATTTTTTGCCAGTACCCAATTTAATTAAATTGTAGATAAATTCAACAGTGTGTAATGTAAGGTTACTCCAACGAGACTAGATTACAGAAACGACTACCTAAACAAAGACTTCATAACAGCGAAATAAACGAAGATTTAGGGTTGATTTTTCAATTCTCAGATAAATGTTATCTAAGGAATAAAATTGTTGCTGTCACTGTCTTATACGAACATTATGACGCGACAGCATCATAATTATTCCCTAGGCAACTTCTATCTAACCATTGAATAATCAGCCCTATGTAAATTAATTATAATACTCGTATAGTAATTAATACACATTAATTAAATACATCTTAAGACGTTAACACAGAACTACGTGGCTACGCTATTACAAAATCTATAGTACGCATAGTATAAAAGATTATTCAACTTTATGTACTTACTTTATAATTTCAATATTTCCATTTACATTTTGTGATTAAGTATAGCATACTTTTTTTATTAGCATTGATTGGAATTGGAATTTGAAATAACAATAAAAATTCTGATTGGCCTAGAGACAGATTTGTTGTAACCTAAAAATTTATAATAGTATTGCCAGGTTAATAAATTAGACATGTAATTGCCAGATTCAAAAATTAAAATTTATTTGGTATTTTTACTATAGCTGTCTTTAGAGGAATTTTAGCTAGATGTATCGTTTTTTAAAACCGCAGTTAAGACACCGGTTAGTTTAAGACTCTTTTTAATCAATAGAGTATTCGAATATGTAGGAAATTGTGTCAGGATGGAGTATTTGAAAATACTCAACAAGTTCAATCTTTAATGAACATGTTCCAATCAATGCTAATAATATTTAGTTACACATAAACTATGTATAAAACTGTCATATTATTACAATTAGGATTCCTGATCACTTCAATTATCACGTCAAGTTTGGGAGGGGAAGAGGGGCTTACCTTACTAAAAACATATGTAAACAATGAAAGGTATCTTAAATCTAAATGTAGACCTTATAATCAATACACGGTTAAATCATTATCTACCTAAACACTCAGGGATTAGGTCAAAAATTGGATGAAACATATTTTGAATAAGGTTGAAATTCACATCAAACGAATGGGGAAATATTTATACGAATTCCACCTTTATATACATTAAGAATAGATACTATATCCGTCTGACTTGTATAATAAGTACACAATCTTAATTCATATGCTTATAATCTAATAATATGCTTTGGATTGACATGTAAAAATTAAAAAAACTGCTGCCGCCATTTTCGTTAACAGATCTAAAACAAACTTAATAGTAATAATAATAAAGAACAAATATTTTTTGATCACAAATCGGCAAGATTTTGCGAACAGATTTACAACAATATTGCACATGTTTTAAACAATATCCTTTAAACCCGGAGCACGTGTTTTTATTATTAGGAATTAATACAACAATACAAAAATAAACACCCTCTTATTTCATGCAGTAGAGTTTACGACTTTTAAAATTGTCTGATTTGCCTTTTATTTAAACTGATTGGTATAGCTACAATACTAAACAATACCACTGAGAATTTTCATATGGAAAAACACAATACCACTTTATACGACCTAGGTATCGCACCTAAAAATTTACATACAGAAAATAAAAAAAAAAAAATTACATTACAATCAGTAGTAATACATCTTTTGAGGAGTCTGCTTGCAACCACGACCTGTGCAACCAGGTCAAAACGTTAAGCCAAGGTATTTAAATATTTACTTTTCGCGTTAATACCAGCTTAAGTCTTTTGGGGCACTTGATTCGGGTAACCAATCACTATAATTCCGACTTAAAAAACACATGCAATGGGTTTAAAACAGAAAATGATATGCAGACACCTAAGCCTAATTTTATAAATACGCCGAAACACTAAAATTAAAAAATTAAAATTTAATATTATCTATAATTTCGCTGTCATATGATATTTGGATCGAGAATGTGATGTGAGCAAATTAGTAAGAAGGTAAATGTACTAAGATTATGTTAAAATAAAATAATCAACTTAGAAGCAAAAATACTTTACGTGATTTGATAAAATACATAACATTAGTGTTTATGATTTCATACATTTTTACAATCTCACCCATTTCATCCCCTAAACTGGGAATCGAATTCAGAACTTAGCAAACTAGTCCAGTAATATCCATTAACAACTAAATCAATAAGTCAAACTTTAATTTTGAATACTAGGCTTTCAATTAGGGATGGACATTAAAAAAATACATCGATGTTTTTTTCGATGTAATGCATCGTTTAGTTACATCGATGGTAATCCGATGTATTGAGAAATACATCGATGTTTCTTAAACATCGATTGTTTTAGGTTAGGCATTAATTAAAACAAAAACATGTATTAAGAAAATCAGAAAACATATGTATTTAAATTTAAAATCACAGAGCCAACACATTTTTCTCTTTATAAATTCCAATATTTTTTTTCAATGCTATGTAAAAACAACAGTTTGTTTAATCTCTTTCCCTTTAACCGGTTTCTTTGTTCCGTCATAACCAGCCCTGCCTGTGAAAAAAGTCTTTCAGAAGGGACTGACGTGCCAACTATTGTTAAATACTTAAAAGCTATTTTATACAGC